TAAGTCAGTTTTGTCTTTGAATGTGAATACTCAGTTTTAAGCTCACCTTGTTCTTTGGGATCCATGTCAGATTATGCCACCCCATAGCTGGCGTCCGTCTCGGTTTTCCGTCGTTCGTCGTGGTTGTTCGTCGTCCGGTGTCCGCTGTGCGTCGCCAGCCGTTTTGGTTTTCTTTGGGATCCATGTCAGATTATGCCACCCCATAGCTGGCGTCCGTCTCGGTTTTCCGTCGTTCGTCGTGGTTGTTCGTCGTCCGGTGTCCGCTGTGCGTCGCCAGCCGTTTTGGTTTTCAAACGAATTCTTCTTGAAAACCACACAGCCAAAAAGTTTGAAACTTTGGTGTATGATATGTCCTCGACAAACGATTCTCATTTTGTTCAGATTGAATGCAAAACATTGCCATCATGGGTAACAAGAGGCACACGTGGGCCTGTATCGCTCGCCTGCTATAAAAATCGTCAGTTTGCTAACTCTATATGCACATACTATAGTTACTCTTTGTGTTGCTGATCATTTTTGCAATTCAAATGAAGAACCTAGATCCTATAGTTTTCAGGTTATAGCAAAAAACTGAAAAAACAGTAAAACTCAACATTTCAAGGTCATAATTAAAAAAGGGGTTGTCAAATCTTCATTTTTACAGTTTACACTTTTAACCTAGTTCTATACTAGTATGGTTTTCAAGATAACAACAAAAAATGCGAAAAACCAGAGAGAAAAAAAATAGTATATTTCAAAGGCAATAACTCAAAATCAGGTTTTCTTATTTTTCAGAAATTTTCAAGGTTTACAGATCGTGACATTCTGACCAATTTTGCAGTAAACATCTTTTACATAGCTCATATACTTTTCATGATAACAGTTAAAAAACTGCATAAAATTGATATTTTAGGAGCAATAACTCAGGAAAATGTCGACAGATTTTATTTTTTATTTTAGGGAAAATACCTTCTCGTGCTGATCCTTTTTGCATTTTACGCTTTTAACCTAGCTCCTATAGTTTTCAGCATAGCAGTTAATAACTGTTAGAAATTGGAGGGAAACAATATATTTCAGGGCAAAAACTAAAAAAACAAATAGTTTTTTCTTTAATATTCAGAGTGGATACATCCTCTCATGCTGATCATTTTTGAACTTTACATTTTTAACCTTACTCGTATAGTTTCTGAAACAATGGCGAGAAAATGCTAAAATTTAAAAATTCAACATTTCAGGAGCAACTAGATATCATTGAGATGGGAGCCATCTCTGTGGGCCCCGCTGTGAATAATGTGTGGTAAAAAATTTGTATCTTTATCATTGGCCATGGGGTTGTCAACTGAAACCAAAGTTTTTGACCTTGACCTTTGACCTAGGAAGTTGTACATAAATTATGACACACCCTTTGGTGTTGGTTTATATACATATCAAGTATAAACTTTGAAATCATAACGGTTCTCAAGATATAGAGCGGACACGATCTTTACCATAGGACATGGGGTTGTCAACTAAAACCAAAGTTTTTGACCTTGACCTTTGACCTAAGAAGTTGTACATACATTATGACACACCCTCTGGTGTTGGTTAATATACATGTCAAGTATAAACTTTGAAATAATAACGGTTCTCTAGATAAAGAGCGGACACAATTTGCTACGGACGGACGGACGGACAAACAGACGAACGGACAGACGGACGGACGGACGGAGGGACAGACTGACGGACAGACAGACGGACAGACTGATCACTATAGGTCGTCCGCCATTCGGCGGGGCCCTAATAACTTCAAAACAGGAGGACAGATTTTCCCAATATATTCAGGGTAGATAGAATTTAACTTGTTGTGCTGGGCAGTTTTTCTCTTAGATATATGACCCCTATGTTCTATTTTTAGAGAATGCATCCATGTTGGTTTATCAACCTGGACGAAATCACAAACTTTTAGTTGACATCCTTTAAATAAAACAGAAAAACCCACAGTTTCAGAGGAGAAGATTTTTAAAGAAAAATTTACGGACAGTGCGGCGACGGACGGTGGACAGTTGGACGATGGACACAAAGTAATGGCAAAATCTCGCATCGTCCTTCGGGTCACGTGAGCTTAAATAGAACACAGAGGTAAAACTGTAGTTTGTGGCTGATAGAACAAAACTGCTACTAACGTGGGTAAAGATTATCAGAGGGTTAATATCTATCTACCCTGAAATTTTAAGAAAAATAGATTTTTTTTACCTCTTTCGGAGTTATGGCCCCTGACAGGTCAATGTTTAACAAATTTTGCAGGTTTTTGCCATAAGTACTTGGGGACAGGACAAATCTTTAGCCCTCCCCCTTTTTCCTAAAATCGATTATTTTTGTTATTTTTCATTTTATTTCAATTATTTTTGCGTTTTCTGTGATATATATATGTATGTGTGATTACTTAAATATACCAGAAACAATATGTATTTTTATAACAACTATTTACTATAAATTCTTTGTTTACTATCTACAGCGATCACTGATAATATATATATTGAGAGCTCTCTATACATGTATATATACTAGTAATCAATAACCGCTGTGGATAGTAAATAAGAGTCACAATATTATGTGTGAAAGATAGTTGCAAATGTTGCTTATAATTTTAATAGCAATTCATGAATGGAAGCATAGCGCTAAGTCTCGTGTTTTTTTAGTTTGAACTTGCGGCTCCAATAGGGAGTTTGTTGGAGTTGGAACCCCTTTTTTGCGTTTTTTTTAAATCATAACCACCGACGCAAATTAGACTGGACACACCCCTTCCTTTTACCGCAAGAAACCCATGATTTGCAAATAAGATCCCACTGAGTATAATTAAAACAGAACCAACTGTGGTAGAGTTTGGATGGGAGATCTACATTTCTGTATTTTCTATTCTAGTCGTTATATTCTTTGCCAATTATTCTCCATTCTTTATATTTTTGCACCCAATTATATTTTTTTCTTTCTTTGTTTTGGTCCGTTTTTCTCTATTTGTTATATTTTATCGGCAATTATACTCTATTCTGTAAACCACCATCCATACCCTCATGTAGAGGAAAAATTACTTTGGTATTTCGTCGTCCGGAATTTTATTATATGAACCTTTCGACTTAGGCATTTCACGGAATTTTAATTCAAGCACATTATTTTACTTTTGATATTAATCATGATAATACGAAAATGAAGCACATATTGTATTTCGTTCTAAGTCCTGGTTTTAGTAACACTTATAATTGCAAGTAGCTTTAATAAAAACTAATGAAAAGTATATTAACACTTATTTTCTTTGTTTGTTACAGTTGATACGCCTGTGTGGTTGTTATTATATGTACATGTCGGATATATTGACAACTTTATTTGTATTAAAGCTTAATCATGTCATATGAATACATTACATATTGTACATTTAAACTAAAGCTATTTTATTGAAGTAATTGAAATGAAATGAAAGGAAAGTATTTACACTTTAACATAGAAAATCCATCCAATATTAACGGGTAAATGTGTTTCTGTTTTAAGAGGTGGTACTTTGCAAGCCTGTGAAAAAGGTGCTACTTCAAGAGTTCTATAGCTTATGTAACCTTTTAAAATGAATAATTTTCATTTTCGTGTACTTGTGGTAATTAATTACTCTCGTTGTTATGTGTTTTGATGGAAAAAATACTAATAGAATAGAGAATGGAAACGGGAAATATGTCAAAGAGACAACAACCCGACCACAGTGCAGAAAACAGCCCAATGCCACAATGGGTCTTTAACGCAGCCAGAAATTCAAACACCCTGAAGCGGTCTTCAGCTGGCCCCTAAACAATAATGGACCATTCCATTTAATATCCGAAAAAGGGGGTGGATGTTTTTTTCTGAGGAGTATAAAAAGTCATTTCCTAGGGGTACGGATTGGCTCATAATATATCTAAGAGGTACCCATTTTTTTAATTTTTTTCTAGGGGGTCTTTTCTTGTCTAAATATGAAAAAATGAGGGGTTGATGGCACGATTTGGCATCTGAGGGGTTTTAAGCCAAGCATTTGAGGCATTGAAATTTGCCTTAAGGGGGTCTTTGACAAGGTAACCATCCACCCCCTGTTTAGAAATTAAATGGAATAGCCCAATGTTTACTAGTTCACCGAAATTAATGCTACACTAAACTCCGAAGCATGTATACAAATGAACCAAATTAGAAACACATACACACAAGACTAACAAAGGCTAGAGGTTCCTGACATGGGACAGGCGCAAAAATGCGGGATACATAAGAGTCTTAATTTCAACATATTAAAGGCTAAATGTGGAGATTACAAAAAAGAAGTAGCTGAGTGTTCAATTACACCTAGCAGAGACCATTTATAGCCCTTTCATGGTTACCTTTATTTTTATATTACGTAATGGCAGCATACGTTAAACAAATTTCATACTTAATTATTGATTATAGTAATAAATTGTAACTTCTTTTATACAGGCTTCTCAACCCAGTTTAATAGTCAATATGTTGAATGATTTGTGTGGAAAGGGAGGTAACAATTAAGAAAAAAAATACAATTTATGAATGACATGAATTTACAACCTTCAAAATGAAGCTGGGAACCGCTGAACGCGCACCAAATATACGAAAAATTTCACCAAAGAGACTGGAATTAACGTGATTGACTTATTAAAAAAAATGTGACCTTTTTGTGTATCAACTTTCGTATTCCATTACATTAAACCTTTCATTCAACAAATTGAAAACACTTATTATTTTTAACCTATCTCTGTAAAATTACTTTCATATTTCATAATTATTTCATATATACTCCCTTGTCCAAAATTATTAAAACGAAACAATCCCAACACACCTAATAAACAAAGCGAAACTAAGTACACCTTCGTTGAAGTGCAGTGGTGAACGGACAAGTTATGAAATTACCAAGTAATCAGGAAAAACTGACAGTTTGTTTTTTCTAAAATATGGAAACAATTGTCATATCATGCAAAACATCATTAATTATTTCGGAAATTGTATATGAATTGTCTACTTACCAAAAGCGTCTTAGGTCATACTATTTCCGCGAGAACTTGTTTCGTTTTCGCGGAATTTAGATAAGTTATTAATAGTAACTTCCTGGTCGAAATTATCAGAATGGGGGTGTACATGAAAGATGACATAATTGTACTTAGATCATTTGGCAATTTACCCTATAATTTCAAATATAATGTTGAAACATTTACTAAAAATCATTGATCTGAAATAGAAATTTAAAAGACAACTCGTTATAAAAATACCATTAAGTTCATCAGGAACGATAACCATATTTAATGATTTCTATTTGTAACATGGGCGCGAAAATTTAAATGATTTTACGAAGAAATTACAAAATTACTGCATGAATGATGGACAAAACAAACCCATTAAAATCTTGATATCAAGAAATATAGAACATGTGTATCGTTTCTATTGACAAAAAGGAGAATGGTCCTGGAAGCAATGTAAAAAAGTAGAACCAAGTTCCCCTGTATAGGTTTCACTCATATGGTAAAAGAATCTAAAAGTTGTTAAAACCTATATTATTTGATTAATGTTAAACAGAGGTTCTCAGTTCTCATATAAATTATGAGGTGGGGTTGTTTTTTTTTTTTTTTTTTTGTTGTTGTTGTTCGGGGGGGGGGGGGGGGGGTAGCAATGCATATTGCTGTTGACAATATATTGAAACTTCACATGTTTTTGAAAAATATTGCATCAAAGGACGTCTCTAACCAAAATCAATTAATATTTCTTTAAAGGACAAATTATTGCACTACTTCCCATATAATTTTGGTTTTGGTTTATACATTTATTGAATAAAAACTCAAAATCTGCCAATATCTTTCAAAAGTGCATTTTTCATCCATCTTTAGGCATTTATAATGTTGTTACATGTTCGAAAATATATCAACATGTTGTTAAAACCTTAAAGTACACATTTGATTCGATGATACTGTCAATGAAGGGGAAAGTCTAAAGAGATACTTTAAGAAAAAAGCTCTGCTTGGAAATAAATGCAAGGCAAATTGGACCTACTTCATTAAAAGCTCTGGGAATCGTATTGTCATGATTATTACAAGCCGAAATCCAGTTTTATATGCTAATGATACCAGCAGCCATTTTTTTCGAGGGCCACTATTGATTTTTAAAAATGTACAATTTAAGATAGTTTTTTTTTCTCTCTTCCTTTTTTCTACAAGATTAAGAGGTACAGAAACAATGTTAGTATATAAAATAAAATAATTTGTGTAAGTAAAAATTCGATTGATAGTTGAGATGAATTGTGTGCACTTTACTGCAGAAAAAAAAACGTTTTCCATACCATATGGACCCTCAAATATCCCGTGTTTTTGTTTTAAAAAAACTCATCATAGATACCAGGATTGAAATTTTGTACGCCAGATGCGCGTTTCGTCTACAAGAGACTCATCAGTGACGCTCGAATCAAAAATTAAAAGTTAAAAGGCCAAATAAAGTACGAAGTTGGAGATCAATGAGGACCCAAAATTCCTAAAATGTTTGCCAAATACAGCTTAGTGTATCTAATCCTTGGGTAGAAAATCCTTAGCATTTCGAATAATTAAAACCATTTTTAATGTCTATTTCTATATACACGACATGAAAACACGTGGATATACATGTTGTGTAAATCTGTTGTATTATCATGATTATATGAACAAGTCCTTTCAAAGAAAAATGCTACGTAGTCTATTTTGTTAAATTGATAAGGCATGCCATATTAATAATTCATTAACATAATGTGAATTTTTAATTGTTTTGTGTCTAATGTGTCCATAATCGTAATAGATAGGTGACTTATGCATTGACACGCACTGGTTACTTAAGGTACACGATTCCACCCTGCAGGTGATCTGAAGATTTAAAGATATGGACAAAAGCTTGCAACCTAACCCCAAATTGTGAAGAACTTTGCTGTAGAGAATTACAGAGGACTTCCAAAAGAGTGTGTGGTTGATATGAAAAATTCGTCAGTTTCAAGTTCACTGGATGGATGAGATCAACATATACATTACATACACCAAGCTTGAACGTGTTCTGTTAAATGATATCATCTATCGGAATGTGAAGATGAGGACTAATGCCAGCGTGTTTCATTTCTTTTTATGAGGTTCTGTAGGAAGTCTACCTTATACGAATAAAGAAACAGGTGGACATAAAATGGAGCCTAGACGGTTCCAATAGGAATGTCTATAATCTGTTGTAAAACACGTCCCCAAAGCGTGTCAAGTATGTTTGCAATCATGCATCTTGATGATAGACATTTCACATTTTTGTTTGTAAATATCTAATTTTATTTTTCTTACAAACTAAGTTGAGTTGATCTTTCCTAAAACAAAACATTCTTTTTTTAAGAAACAAAGTGTGACTAATTCTTTCAATCAGTATCTAACTCTAGAACGGGAAATACTGATGTAAAGTGCAAATAAGTAGAATTTTGTGTTTGTTCATTGGGCATTTCTATGGTATCAACATCTGATTGACACACCCTTTGGAGTATTTAGTTTCACAGTAACTCTGAATCCCGATTTTAGTTGCTTTTGATGACAAAATGAATGTTAATAATTCGGAAAGATGTTTGTGGCCACAATGACTGAAGCCTGTCATAATAACCTGAACATGTACATGTAACAATAATACATAATACAAGATATCAGAGCAAAAACAACATTACATGACTAAAGAGGTCTTAAGGAAGAATACACGACCAAAACTGCAAACAGAACTCATTATATCACTAAATAACGTTCATAACCAACAAAACCTGAAAACAAGATAATAATACTTTACATGACCGAAACACCAATGCAATAAATGGAAACGTTCAAAAGATAACGAGAAACCGAAGAACAAAGAAAAACAACAACACGAGATCAAAAATTTTTATTTATTATTTTTTCTTGTTTACTTTCTTTTTTTAGCATGAAACGGGAAAACGTCTAAAGTGAACTAGTGTTAATACGTCTTTTAAACCTTTTTGGTTCGAGCGTCACCGATGAGTCTTTTTTGGAAGCAACGCGCGCCTGGCGTACAAAATTTCAATCCTGATGTCTATGATGAGTTTATTAAGAGTAAAACTATCACACGTTTCTCCTGTTTGGTCGTGCCATTTAATATAATTAATAAGACTGAGATGTATAACTATATATCGTTATTCCCATACAGGATTGTGACAGATTCTTATCTTGTATTTACATTGCAAAATTTCACAAGTATCACGCCTGACAATATAATCTATGTGATTTGACGTAGACAAGCAATCGGTTCCGGGTCTGACACCGCACCTCTGTATTTTATTGAATTATCCTTCTTCAAATCAAGTCGTACAGCGTTTATTGACGAAATAGAGGGATCCTCGCTAAAATTAAAAAATGGGGATAAAATAAATGTAGAGTTCGATAAAAACAGATCTGCTTATCCTTCCGGAGCACATGAGATTTTGTAAACAAATCAAGTATTTCAAATAATCTATAAAAGTCATGGTGGTATACTTAAATTTTGAAGACAGATCAAAATCATATCGAATACAGTCTTAGATATTCATTAGTATTAGTAAAGAAGAAGAGCTATCAAAAATAAAGTATCCAAAGGCATCATTATAATATATAATTACCTCATCTATAATGCATTCGTCGTCATTAACAAATTTATTAATATCTACGACAAGATTTCCATCATCTAAGTATGTATACATTGTACATTGAACTATTTCTTTGTCAGCTATCCTCATATTTGGTTATCACTACTTTGTATCCAGCCCACGCTAGCGCTGATTCCTTACGAGATCCAAATGGTAGAATAAGATCAGTTGGTCCTCTATTGTATATTGGATTCCATTATTTATCTTTAGCATGTTCATTAATTGTAAAGAGGTATTAAGAAGTATTCTCGTTACCATGGAGTGAGGCCATACGCTCTGTAGAATGAATTTTATGGACAATCTTATTCTGATGAATTGAGGTGTTGCTTCTTCTTTTATTAGATTTAACTGTTGTGTCCGGAATCGGTATTTTGTACCTTTGATATCAAGATCCACTTTAAAGTTGAATAAACGACGAGGAAGTGAGCCGACAATATTATCGTTTAACCTGAATCCGTATTGGTCATATTGGTTATGTCAATAAAATGTACTAAAATAAAGCTAAAAGTATGTTATTTAAATTATAAATTTCGGTAATAATATTGGCGGCTGTACTTCTAGATTTTCTTTGTCTGCTTTTGTCACAATGTTTGTTTTTTTCTTCAATTCATAAAAGCACTGTTTATTTCTGTCTTTCAATTAGTGTCAGTGTTGTATACTCTACTTTATTCATATTCGACATAGTTATATGAAATAAATGTTGTCAGAAAAAAAATACAACAAATACCTATATTCTACCAGTCTACAAAATTTGGTAATTAATTACAGAACGATGACTCTTACGGTTGAATTATATTGAAAAAAGTGCATGTTATTTGGTGCAATAGAATTAGATTAAAACCGCAAGAGGAAAAGACACACATGTTATAAAATAGAAGTTTCTTCATAATATAATTCTAACGGATTAAACGGTATAGACTATTTGTTTCATTTGGAACAGATATTATGAAACTGTTTATTACAAAGTTTCCAGGGGAACTTCTGTTAGCCGGCACAAATATACGTTGATACACAAAGACGATTTAATAATATAGTATGTTTTACGTATAAGATATTTTTCAAGCAACCAACAGCTTAATTCAAATCTCATTTTGAATTTTGACCTTTTAAATGTAATTACATAGTTTCACACGTGATTTCATATAATGTGTTTTTCACTACAAGGTTGGTTTTTCGTGTTAATACGCTCTTTAAACCAAGCTTCTATTTACCGTTAAATTTCGGTTATAGATGTTTTTATAATTATGTGACAGTGATGATTGGCCATTTATTTCTGGTGTTAAATTAGAGTAACATTTTATTCATTCATTTCATTTAATTAGCCATTCTAACATTTTCTCTCTTTGTTCTTTTCATTTCAGTCTTTTAAATCATTTAAATCTTATAAGGGCTTTCTACATGTGTGAGTTAATTACACGTTTTTACATTTCGTATTTCAAAACCCATTTGGCATTGTCTATAATTGTCTAAATAGTTTATTACTTTAACAATCAATTTCTTATCATTATCTTTTTATGTGCTTTTGTATTTAGTTCGTATCT